GTTAACCGATTATGTAAAAAAAGAGGTATGTAACGTTTTTCGTTACACTGTTTTTCAAAAAGGACAAGACCTTTCTGAAAAACTATCGACCCATCTCGCTCTTGAGTCATGTACATATATAAGCTGTTCTCGAGGATTATCACGAATCGTTTTGCCCGAAAGTTCAACGATTTTCAGCCGCTGGAGCAGGCTGGATTTCGAAAAGGCTTCAGTACTATAGACCACATACATACTTGAGACAAATTATTCAGTAGACCGAAGAACATAACCGACTCTTGTACCTAGCGTATGTGGATTGCGAAAAAGCCTTCGACACCAACGAAATCTGGGCTGTTCTATACTCTGCGGAGATGTCAGATTGGCTGCCGTTACATCGAGGTAAAAACTAAGGCATTTAACCAGTGCTTTCTACCATTTATGTCATACGCAGCAGAGACGTGGACACTAACAACAGGCCACGTCCATAAATTCAAGGTCGCTCGGCGTGCGATGAAGCGAGCTTGCAATTTCTCTGATGGACCGAATCCCTAACGAGCTCATACGTCAGAGAACTACATAACTCGCAAAATCAGTCCGCTTAAGTGGCATTGGGCCGGGCATGTCTGCAAGAGCGTTGATCGTCGATGGAGCTGTTCTGGAATGGCGACCACGTCAAGAAAAACGTAGTGTGGGACGCCTTGCGGCAAGATTTACCGTCACACACAATGTAATATTATGACACCAAGTGACGGGACGCCCAAGTCATGTGACTGGTGTTAAGAATCACGCCTGTCCATAGCAGTTGCAGTGCTACTCAGTGCTTTGAATCGTAAAGATATTAGGGACACTGCCACTTATAAGTCCCATACGTGCCTGTACCTTCACCAGCACTCTTACTTTTCAAAACTGGAATGCAATAATGCTCATATTACTACTTGGCAGCAGAAATAGGTAAGGTGACAGTACTTTCCTGGACGAACTCTTTCGCAAGAAGCTCTACTGCTGCTATATAAATAAACACAATCTTTTACCTTCATTGACATTAATATAAAAATCTTAACAAAAGTTCGCGAAGACATGAAATTTGTCAAATTTTAAATTATCTCCTCAGTCTGTTAAATTCCTGGTTTAATTAAAACCAACACTAACTAAAGTTTATGCGCAGAATCGCGGTTAAAATTAAACGACCATATTTTACGGATATTACTCGTTTTTACAACCATCTATAATTTCAAAGGCCTACCTGGCGCAGTTAAGGTTGTAAATTGCTCGTATAGAATCAATATTTAAAACTGTTCCCCAAATTTCTATTATCAATTTTCCAACGGAAACGAAAATTGAATTGCCGTTTATAAAAATTTTAAACGTTCTACCTTGTCGACGCCATATTTTCGAAAAAAAGTGTACTTTTCTAAACAAAGTTTTATATAAAACTATGCAGAAAATGTTTTGCAGGAAAAACCAATGTTAAATAATAATGAATAATTCATTCATTATTTCGTTAATAATTTAAGAATCAGATTTATGTGGATGTAGTAATTGTTGATTATCAAAGAAGAGCCAAATTTTAGAAACACAATTTGTTCAAGCAGAAACTGTTCTTCCACTCTTTAACGCGAACTAAAATAACTACTCAAACATACTAGCAAAGCTCAAAGCTTAAAGCGCCAAAGAAACTTTCAGTTCAGCGAGATCTTTAAAAATTGAAAGAAGTGTGACTTAAGACGGCAGAATTCGAAATGACTGTCGCCAAAAATAAAAAAGGTATAAAAAAATGTAAAAACTTTATGAGAGAGCTTTTTAAAAATGGTTTATTTCAAGATTTGGTGTCCATTACGTATTCATCAACTTTTCTATTTGTTTGGTACAAAAAATTATATTTATTATACGCATTTATGTTAATTTAAGGCTATTTTGACCGAAAGACGAATTTCATATCATGTCGTTTTTAATTTATTTTGTAAATTAATATAAATGTTTGTAATGTTTATTTACTTTACAGCACTTACATGTTTACGAAGAAAATTCAATATGCTACCTTCCCAGTCGAAACTCAAAGGCACTCGTTATATCTGCCTCAATAATTTAGGAACAATTAGGTGTTTTCGATTTGAATACTATGAATAAAATAACGACTAATATTCAAAGTAAAATGTGTATAATAAAAATAAATACCAAAGAGATCATTCTGAAATAACACGAGTTACTCTAAAGATATAGTTCGAATTAATCTCCCTCGTCGCCACCTTCTTCTTCCTCGTCAAATTCACCCTCTTCCTCAGCTGTAGCATCTTGGTATTGTTGATACTCCGAGACCAAGTCGTTCATATTGCTCTCTGCTTCAGTAAACTCCATCTCGTCCATCCCCTCTCCAGTGTACCAGTGCAAGAAAGCCTTACGTCTAAACATAGCAGTGAACTGCTCCGACACCCGCTTAAATAGCTCTTGAATCGCTGTCGAATTCCCAATGAAGGTGGCCGACATCTTCAGACCACGTGGCGGTATATCGCATACAGCTGTCTTTACATTGTTTGGAATCCATTCCACGAAATAAGATGAGTTTTTGTTCTGAATATTCATCATCTGTTCATCTACTTCTTTCATTGACATACGACCTCTAAAGATAGCTGCAACAGTCAAATATCTGCCATGGCGAGGATCGCAAGCTGCCATCATATTCTTTGCGTCAAACATCTGTTGCGTCAGCTCTGGAACTGTCAGAGCCCTATATTGCTGACTGCCTCGAGATGTCAGTGGCGCGAAACCGGGGATGAAGAAATGCAGCCGTGGAAATGGTACCATGTTCACAGCCAATTTCCTTAAATCTGCATTCAGCTGGCCAGGGAACCTAAGACATGTAGTTACTCCCGACATTGTTGCCGATACCAAATGGTTTAAATCTCCGTATGTTGGTGTTGTTAACTTCAGTGTTCGGAAACAAATATCATACAGGGCCTCATTGTCGATGCAGTAGGTTTCATCGGTGTTTTCTACAAGCTGATGCACAGAGAGTGTGGCATTATATGGTTCGACGACAGTGTCAGATACTTTGGGGGATGGCACAACGCTGAACGTATTCATAATACGGTCAGGGTACTCTTCTCTGATTTTGGAGATAAGCAGTGTTCCTAATCCTGCACCAGTGCCGCCACCGAGAGAGTGAGTCAATTGGAAGCCTTGTAGACAATCACATCCTTCTGCTTCTTTTCTAACTACATCTAAGACTGAGTCGACAAGCTCCGCGCCCTCTGTATAATGTCCTTTAGCCCAGTTATTACCGGCTCCCGATTGTCCGAACACGAAGTTGTCTGGACGGAAGATCTGTCCGAAAGGACCTGATCGCACTGAGTCCATAGTGCCAGGCTCGAGATCGACTAGAATAGCCCGCGGCACGTATTTCCCTCCGGTGGCCTCATTGTAGTAAACGTTTATTCTTTCTAGCTGCAGATCGGAGTCTCCATGATATGTGCCACAAGGATCAATGCCATGTTCGTCAGAAATCACCTCCCAAAACTAGAATGAAGAAACAGTCGTCTGTTAGATTAACTCTTTGCTAGGATATTCAAAATTGTTTTAAAGATTAATTGCAGTTCAGGTGCACAGCAATGAGACGTACATATATGTATGAGTAGATACAGGCTAGGTAAGCCACTATCATACTTTAATTTAAAAGTTCCTTCGCAAACGGTACATCCTCGTAAATAAGTCTTTCTTACCTTAGCTCCAATTTGATTTCCACATTGTCCTGCTTGAATATGTACTATTTCCCTCATTTCGTCTTATATACTGCACAAATTACAAGTTACTTCCACTTCAATTCAAATCAGTTGATTTAATGGACCTACTAGACTGTGAAACAAAACATTTTTGTTCGGTCAGAATAAATTTAAAATTTATTTTTTTGTTTTCGATCAAGAAATTCTAATACTAGTAGGTACAAATTTGAGACATTCTCTAGCATCGGCACGTTCAGTTGTCTGTCGTGTGTCGGTTTCTTAGTTTTAACGTATTATACGCTTAAATTATTTTTTTTATTTATTTACCACAAATTTATTTGTTAACTTCATTCTGAGTATTGGAAATAACTTGTTAGTAATGGAATATTATAAAGCAAAATAAATAAGAATATAATAGGATTAGATGCAAGTTTTGAAAACATTTCTTTATCTTTCTAGTTGGCCATGAATTGATACTAAAAGGTTAAACTGGAACATTAACTGCAATTGGGAAGTTTTTTAGAATTTTTTAAATTAACTTATAAGTTATTTAATTTAATGGTTATACAACACAATGAGAGAAATCGTGCATATTCAAACAGGCCAATGCGGGAATCAAATTGGAGCCAAGGTAATATTGCTTTAGAAAATTTTGCTATTTTCTACCTACCTATCAAATAATGACACACCGAAGCTGTATTTATTCAATTTCACAACAACAGAAACTTTCAAGAGTATACGAATACATTCCTCTTTGCAAATTTGATTCTAGCTAATTTTGTAGTACCGTTTTAATATTAAATTTGCTGGTCCAACCATCGTTTCAGTTCTGGGAGGTAATTTCTGACGAACATGGGATTGACCCCTGTGGCACATATCACGGAGATTCCGATCTGCAGCTAGAAAGGATAAACGTATACTATACTGAGGCCAATGGAGGCAAATATGTGCCTAGAGCTATTTTGGTTGATCTGGAACCTGGTACAATGGACGCAGTACGATCAGGCCCGTACGGACAGATTTTTCGACCAGACAACTTCGTGTTCGGACAATCAGGTGCCGGTAATAATTGGGCAAAGGGTCACTATACAGAAGGCGCGGAGCTCGTCGATTCAGTTTTAGATGTTGTAAGGAAAGAAGGAGAAGGATGTGATTGCTTACAAGGATTCCAGTTGACACATTCTATTGGTGGAGGTACTGGTGCAGGTTTTGGAACATTGCTTATCTCCAAAATCAGAGAAGAGTTCCCAGATCGAATTATGAACACGTTCAGCGTCGTACCGTCTCCTAAAGTATCTGAGGTTGTTGTAGAACCCTACAATGCAACGTTATCTGTACATCAACTGGTAGAAAATACCGATGAAACATTTTGTATTGACAATGAGGCTCTGTATGATATTTGTTTCCGAACACTGAAGTTAACAACACCAACATACAGCGATTTGAACCACTTAGTATGTGCAACAATGTCAGGAGTCACTACCTGTCTTCGGTTTCCCGGCCAACTAAATGCAGACTTGAGAAAATTGGCTGTGAATATGGTACCGTTTCCTCGTCTGCATTTTTTCATCCCCGGTTTCGCACCATTGACGTCTCGTGGTAGCCAGCAGTATAGGGCTCTAACAGTTCCAGAATTGACACAGCAAATGTTCGACGCTAAGAACATGATGGCAGCGTGCGACCCTCGTCACGGTAGATATTTGACCGTCGCTGCTATTTTCAGAGGTCGAATGTCAATGAAGGAGGTAGATGAACAGATGATGAACGTTCAAAATAAGAACTCATCTTATTTCGTGGAGTGGATCCCAAATAATGTGAAGACCGCAGTGTGCGATATCCCGCCACGTGGTCTGAAAATGTCAGCTACTTTTATTGGGAATTCTACTTCGATTCAAGAACTGTTCAAGCGTGTCTCGGAGCAGTTTACTGCTATGTTTAGACGTAAAGCTTTCTTACACTGGTATACTGGAGAGGGAATGGACGAGATGGAATTTACTGAGGCGGAAAGCAATATGAATGACTTGGTATCGGAGTACCAACAATATCAAGACGCTACGGCTGAGGAAGAAGGCGAGTTTGAGGAAGAAGGAGAAGCTGGTGATGAAGGAGACTAGCTTGTGTGAATTTGTATAAGAATCGAGCTTTTGTACTTAACGTTTATTAAACTTTTGCTTTAGTATTTGTTTATTACTTACTTAGTCGACAATAGATCAGAGAGTATACCTCCATTTATGTTACAATAATGCCTTGAAAAAGCGATCTCAAACACAGAGTGCATCGATTCTACATATTTTATGCATTAATTTATGCGAAGCCTACCCACATCCACAACGATTGATGGAATACCATTTATTTTCTAACGTTTTAGTCTATGGTTTATGTTAGGTATCGCTAGGTAACTTTATGATTCGTTCTTAAATCTGTTAAAATTTTTATATCAAGAAGTTCGTAAAGGTATACTAGTAAACCTTTACGAAACAAAAAGAAAGATAGAAAGAAACGTTTATTCAACTTAAGAGAATTCAAGCAGAACAGATAATTCACATTAATGATTACATATAAGCTGAAACGGATCCAACTCAGCATATGTTACAGCTCGCGTGCTGTAACGCTGGTTTTCAGTTGGAACCGCTTTTAGGGAGAGACCTTTTTACTAGGTACATTTTTACTCTCTGCTCATTATGGTTTTGTCTTACATGGTATTTTAAATCATAACCTCTGTTTGATAATGATAATTCTCTCAGCTCAGCTTTCAGTGTAACATCTCTAATCAAACCACCCAACATTTATGTGGTCTGTGCACCCAACCCATGTTGCTAATTTATTTTCAACATATAATTCATTCTACGGTATAGTGTTATAAGAGAAAAGTAGAAAAGGTTATACCCATCAAAGGATTATGATTACCTATTCCTGCCCATTCGCTGAAAGTATCCTAATCTCCTACACATCGGTTACTAGATCTGATCACCTGGAGGTGTAGCTACAAGGGCGTTTTAATATTAGGTATGTTTGTGTTGTGCTATAAAAACAAGCATAAAGTCAAGTTTCATGAAAGCCAGTCGCGACATATCTCATCCGACGAGAAGTCAGAATCCCTTTGCATTAGACGGACTACAGTGACTTTATTTCGAGAGACTCCGTTGCTGTGGAGTGTGATGCATTGCAAAAGCGGAGCGATTTCAATAAATCCTATAACGTTGGCAACGAGCACACCTAGTTATATGGGATATATACAGCCAAGAAAAATATTATTTTATTTATATTTAAATGTAATTAAAAGTGCCGCGCAAACGGCACTACATGTCAACGAAAAACGCGTGACGTCATTGATAGGTAAACAAACTGATCATGTCACTTTCGAGAATTTTACGTATTGATTAACTGCTGACCTCCATCCAAATTTTTTATAGTTTTTAGTTAAAAAGAAGTGAATATAGTGACTTATCTTTGGTTACCTACGTATCACATTATTTGAGGTGTGATGGTATAATTCCTTTCTTGTACGTCTATGGCGCACCCATATTGTGTGATCGTTGCTTTCATAACAAATTAAAAATACAACAATTTTCTGATTTTATTTATCGACTTAAAAATACAAATCATAATTATTTCACAGAAATTGTAATCAGGTCTTCTTCTGTTTTTAAAGACTTTTCAGATTTTTATTCGGTTATTGCCGAATTGCCTATTATATTTTTGTGCCTGTTAATAAATACACAATATACCTTCAATATTGTTGAATACCTAATGTTTGGACAGTCAAACTATACTTATCTTTCCTCCAATAAATATTTTGGGAACTATAATAGCTTTTTCTTTCTCTCAGTTCGTCTTTATCAACATTATCTGTAAACCTTTTTTAACTAGTTGACATAGAGACTAACTTTCATTAGTAATATAGATTTATTGTAATCATATTTCGTTTCTTGGTAGTAATTCTATATTGCAAGTTTTATAGGTTATCTATATATAATAAAAATATTTTTGTAATTTAATAATAACGCCAGATGAGATGACGAGTGGAGCCTCTTAACAGAGTCCTGGCAAAATACCGGCGTCGTGGACAACCGCGGCTGGGCACTGCGATGATTTCCAAAATTATCTAGTTTAAATATGTAGATGTAAATTCCTTCTATTATTTGTTATCTTGAAGTGGTTTAATATTATATTGGAAGTGAATAGAATTTATATCTATATATCTTAGGAAAGCTTCGGCCCTCAGCATTCGTTAACCAGCCAGCTCGAAGCGTTGTCGCTATCCGCTCCGCTTATGTCAAAGCCAGTAGCCGGCTTTGGACGCCATCTGAATAATTTAGTTCCACGCTATTTGTACACTACAGCTCTTGTGGCTTATGGTTAATATTCAGATGATACGAGAATTTTAAAGTATTACGTGTTTTTTCGTACAAAATGGAAATTTAAGCTCGAGTAAGTAAACCATCAAGTTCGTAGGTAAAGACTTTTGAGTTTTTATGTTTGGGATTAATAGGGGTTATCCTGTCATCGTATTAAATTGTCCCCCTAGTGGGAGAAGGGAGGCTTATTCCACGTAATCCTCTTGCTATATATTGGAATATTGTTTACATATATCCCTATATATGTAACCAATATTCCAATACATATTACTTGTAAAATACTAATAACCTCGCAACACTATATTACTAACATCATAAACAACAAGTTTCATTCCATGATTTTAATATTATATATATATAAATAATATATATAAAATTATATATTAAATTAATATACATAAAATTCAAAAAATTTTACTTTCGTACAAAAATAACAATGTTTAATTAGATTGCTACATTCAAATAAATTACTAGGAATTTGAGAATTATCAAACTTATTTTGATAATATAATATCCATAACTTTGATCTCCTGATAAAACCCGAGGATCTTATACGAATTTAATGATTCTTTTTTGAACCCTAAAATGGAAGTCGATCTGATACTGTGTGAGTTAATGATGCCAGAAATAAGCTATATTTGAGGTGTAGCCTTTACTGAAATAACCCCAATTGTTTTGTCGGAAAACAGGTCCATTCCGACCAGTCTCGCCAACAACTTGAAACGGTTGGATTTCTGCTTCGTGCGGTTTCTAGTACAAATCCAGAAAGCGGTGCTTCTTGATACGGCACGTACTGTTCTTGAATCCGAGTCCCTGACCCCGGCCGACAGTGCTATTGCCGGGGAACAATGCCTCTCTAAAGTTTATAATTTATATTTTAAAGAGCGATGGTATACCAGTGGGACAAAGGTTATTTCTCATCTGAAAGGTCTTTGTGGCGGCATGTACCTTTAGCTTTAATTTTTAATTTACGTACATTGTAAATATTTAACAGAAATACCACTCACTAAAGGATATCGATTTGAAGGCTTTCGTGGTTATTCACTAAATGATTATCACTAGTTACAGGTTTCTTACCACGATATGATTTCTTTTTATTTTCCCGATATTGGTTTCACGCTCAATCACGGGTTGACTCACACACCACATAAATACTAGTAATAGACTGGTTAGTCGGCGGCGTCCGCGTTACCTAGCTTATCACCAGACGGGATGAATGTCAACAGCGCGTCAGTCGTCGTTCAAATGTGATACTTGATTATTTTGTGGAAAAAATTGTGCCATTGTATCATGTCGCGTAAGAAGCCAAAGTTTACAAAATTGAATTGAAAATTATTTCATTTGATCGGTAAGTACTAAAACTGTATTTTCTAATATTTTGAACAATACAATAATATAATTCGAAACAAAACTATTTTCTTGCAACTAGGTAATAACAATATACATTAGTTGCTGTTTTATTTTATATTTTTATGATAACTGTGTTTTAATATTTCAACCCTTCCAGTGATCGGATTGACTTGGAATCTAGTAGGTTAATGAAAGTACGACGACAGTATAATAAATCATTAATACTGTGATTGTAGCACGCCTGCGTATCTAATACCAATTAATATTTGCGTGTCGTAAAACCTTATGCGTATTTGGTAACAAATGTGTGCGTATAAAATCAGCTACGCTAGTTCTCGTAGCAATTGTTATAAATGCCGTTTCCATATACTCCGTGGTTAACCCTAATTGTAGCAAGTATAAAGCAATGCCTATTTCAATATTCCGCTAATTATGAAACTTAATGTCGATATCAATTTAAATGTGACATCCCTATCTGTAGATTGTCAACTTTTCGCTTTTGTTCCAAGAAGTTTATGTCCATAGGATTCTTAGCTTTTAGGTGACTAGTAATAATAAAGCCTTATTAGATCCAAATAAGTTTCAATTTTTTTTACCAAAAGTTTTTTATTGTGTATTTTCGTTTGATAATTTATAACCAATCAAAATTATGTTATCTTAGTACTAATGTAACATTACGTTTTAAAATGTGTGCGTGTGGCGACACCGGTTTTGATACAAATGTTGCTTAATGCCATTTCCATTATTTTCTTTCTTCCGTGGGTTGAATAGACAGCGGCAGATGACAGCTATACGAACAGACATATCTGTCTACCCTCTTTCGATGTTGACGACTATCCTCACCTCGATTACTTGTAGCGTTACCATTGTCACTCACTTTTTTTCGACATACCACACTCACTATCCACACGCGAAACTGAAATCAAACTATTTTTGTTTTTATTATTGTAAGCACTAAGAACTGGATTCTACGTACTAGATAGTTTAAATCCATCTTCGCGATAATGTAGCCAGGAGAGTGCAGTAGCCTCCGCAGCCTCACACACCTCGCTTAGCGAGTATAAAATTGAAAATTCAAAATGGTAAAGAAATAGGGATAATAAAACCAATTGTATAAATATTATTCCCGTTTTATTAATATTTGGGATCTTTAAAATGTTTATCGCACAATAGATTTTTGGTAACTGGTAAACGGTTCAAAAAAATTAACGAGAAGACGTGTTCGCTGCCGCGTTCCAGCGGGGAGTGGCGATGGAACGAAACAGAAACAGAATGGCGAGGAAAAGGAATTAAAGAAAGATTCAAAATTTAAAAACGAGTTTCCAGGAACCGGAGAAAAGGCGATAAAAAGGTGGGATGACGATGTAGGAGGTCACATCGTCACAAACGTGACGAGCTTTGCAATTTAAAATTTAAAATGGACTGGCATGTCATTTACCACCAGGAGCAA